AGTTTGATTATCAGTGAAATGATTTTTTTATATGATTAATAGTTAGCACGGCATTTGAGTGAGAGTTTATAACTTAACAATACGCAATAGGGGTATAAGAGCCAATTGACGCGGCGTGTAAGCAAGCCCCCATTATCTAGTTGAAACATCCAATTACGTTGTACAATATAATTCATCAAATAAATTGTTGCTGGTAATTTTATATACCAGTTTGCTTAGTCTTGATTAAGTTCTTAATACTCAAAGCGTTAACAATGAAAGTTGTAATAAAATATTATTTCATAAAATTGACCGCGTGTATCCTAAACACCAATATAATTTATTAGAAAGCATTAAAATAACTTTAATTGCGACAAGGAAATTGTATTGGATGGAGATAATGTGATGGAAGTAATAATTTCGCTATGTGTTATTAATATACTGATGTTGCATGAAAAGGGTATCAGTAATATTATATTAATATACGAATGACCCCACTTTCGGAGTCCTGAGAAAAAAATTAAGCGGGATCGGTTCAATCTTATAAAATTACACAGTGAAACTCGATAAGTCGGACAAATCTCTCAGCCCCTTTTTTTTCATGCTTAAAATTTTCTCGATAAGTCAGACGTATATTAACTCTCGTTAAGCTGTAATGGTAAGTCGAACAACAGATACTAGTAAATGACTTTCGATAAGTTGGATTCACGCGATTAAACAAAGATTTTCATAGAGATTCTTCATTAGCTTGTATCACAAACATTATTATGTCATTATTTCATTTGACGACTTAGAGAAGACCGTTCTTGAAAATATCTATACCTCATTATGTTATTAATAATTTTGCTATTTCATTTGATGATTTAGAAAGACGTTCTTGTAATTTAAAGAAAATGTTTATGTCATTGATGATTTTGTTATTTCAGTTAATGATTTAGAAAGACGTTTATACCTCTATATCATTGATGATTGTATTTGGACATTTATTTAAACAAGAATAGTGATAACAATTTTTTGTTTATTAGAATTATCCAAATAAATTTATGTTATTGAATAATTCGAAAGCAAATATATCTCATAACATTAAAGGAAATTGTGTTACGATGAATCCTATTGGTCCCTCGATAAGTCGTACAGCCATGCCCCCCGTCGTGTCGAGTTTCACTGTGTATATAGAAAATGGGTATGATGTGTTGTGTAATCCGAGTGATGCAGTGTTGTTGTCCAATGTTAAGATTACGTTTGCTAATGTAAGTCCTTGTGTTTATTCAGAATTGCTTATTAATTGGCAAAACGGACAAGTGACGTTGACGGCTCTCAACTCATGAAATAATGCTAATTAATACAGTCAAACCTCGTTATCCGATATTTTGTTCCGCCAAAAATTTATCGGTGAAGCGTGGTATCGGTAGATCGGATTTTTTCTTTTTTACCGACAATATATGAGTAATATGCAAAATATCGATTTATCGAGGTGTTAAATAAAATTTTCAAACAACAATTACGAATAAAACTATCAATGGACGTTTGCTTTTTTGAAATAGATGAGCCAACAAATTACTTCTCAAACTCCGAAGTTTAACAAGTGTGCTAAACCATATTGTCAACGTCTCTTCAATCTCAGGGCATTGCGGTTTACGTTCTCTTTTTCTTTTTGATGAAAATTCAATATCATTAGTGGCCAACCACACTTGTCTCGTTTATTCCATATAACTAATACAATGTTTTACTTAATTCTATATTAATACGCAACAGTTTGTGTCGGAGTAGGTTTTTGAGAAAGCAAAGTACAGATCTTTTTCTTCTGTGCAATATAACTCTTTGCCCTTGTTGTATGTCAGTTTAGAACAGACATATGTTAGATGGGAATTTATGTCCATTCCGAACGGACATATGTCAGATTGGAATAGCAAAGACAATCCGGTAACAGCATTATAGAGTAATTAATGATGGGCTATGCATTATTAAGCTTTGATCGACGGTTGCACAAATTAATAAAGAGCCATGTGGAAATGAGATCATGCATACTCTTGAATTGATAAAACGTCGTAAAAAGCTCTTCGAATAGTTCGATTTGAGATGTCTGTAAATTTCATTAATACGGTATTACATTTCCCCCGTTCGAACAGTATAATGAAACAGAATACATGTTTGCACATAGTAATAGCAGCCAATATTTAATTCAAAGATTTTATTGCACCATAAGCCATGTGGATGGTGGTAATGTGAATTTAGCTATACGAAATTGTTTAGTTTGTTTTTCATGCTAATACTACTAAATAAGTTCATTGGTACAAAAGCTTAGGAGGTGGCGAGAGTGGGCGGAGTAATCGTATAATTTGATGTATCATAAATATATTGCTTTCATATCGATAAACGTTTGGACTCATTTAATATTACTCAAAAAAGAAAGTAGTAAAAATTTAAAAGGATCAAAATAAAGTGTAAGCTTGAAACTTCGCTTGAAAAAAAAATTATTACAGTCACCTTAATGGTTTTTGAGAAGATTGATTTTAAAAACTCGACATTTAAAGCTAATGGCTTTATTTGCGGGGAGGGGCGAGTAATTCACCAACTTTTGTCATTTTCAGACGGTGGATTAATAAAAACCCAATGAGGCTGTTAATGTTCTGAAAAAAAAAAGCAGGTAGGAAGAGTCACAATAACATGAGTTATCTAGATTGTGGTTTTCAGGCAGTTGTCGTTGTTGAGAGCATGATTATTACAAATACTTCGAGGATTGGGACGGCTGAAATAAAATCACAGATCAAAACTCCACGTATATAAAATCGGGCCCGTACTTTAATGCATAAAGCTGACCAAATAAGACTCTTCAATGAAACGTTTTTAAATAGAAGTTGACCAATTGTCACGATGTGACTAAAATTTTGATAATGCTATGCAACAAAAAAAAAATCGTTTGCAACTAATACTAACTGACAACGTTCGTAGAGAAATCTGTGATTATGCACAGAAGTCTCCTAATAAAAACATTGATCCGTTTCTCCCTGATTGACGTATTAGATGGATTCAACTATGTCCTTCAGGAAGAACGAGTCATATTGTTCTCCCACCCTCCTTACAGTCCTGATCTGGCACCGTGCGACTTCTTTTTATTTCCAAAGAACTTGGTGGAAAGCGGTTTGAGAGGACAAGGATCGGTGGCAAACTGTTGTTAAAAATACTTTTTCGAGAATTTACTCACATTGTATCCATACATTGAGAGAGCTATAGAAATCTGGATTAGTCAAGGTTTATGTCAGCAGACTTATCTTCAGTAATCTTTTAATTAAGAAAAAGAAAGAGAATTTGCCAATGATATCTATAATAAATATTTTTGCTTTATTCATTTACTATAATTGATTAGCAATAACCAGTGAGTGACCATGTTAATACAGATATTCAATTAAGACTTGAATGAGATTTTAGTTACCGGTAAGATATAATCGGAGAAATTTCACACCGTCGGCTTTTTTTTGTGCGTGATTACACACATCCCTTGGCGGCGATCTTGTTATTATCGCATAAGCGTGGATAAAATTTCATCCCGCGAATATCTAGTGTAAGCCTGTCACTATATCTATCTTGTTATCAACAGGTAGTTGGGTATTTTCTAATACATGTCTATACTGAGGTTGAAAACTGTATACATTACATTTTACATAAACATGAGGAGAATAGAAGAACGAGTTCCATAGTGGCATATCCAAAATTGAATAGAAAACGACCCCTAACTTTCCTGCACCATTTAAAGCATGCTATTTGACTTAATAAGATTAGCGTAGAAATACGACAGATCGTTACCATTAAAGGAATCATATGACTATTACGTTAACAACCCCCCCGCATGCTGCTAACCATTAATAAAGATTAATGTAGAATTATGACCAATCGTTGCCATCAAATGAATCATACGACCATGAAGCATATCAAAAGTCATCGGACATTACTAATAAATTCGTCATTTCTGAAAATCTCTTGCTGTCAGTATTTACTACGTAAAAAATAATAATTTTAGGAATGTCCGGTGACTTTTGATAACATTGAATCTGTGTTATTAAGGCGCGACACTCCGGATTACCAGGACGCAATTTTGTGAGATAACAGCTAAAATCTAACAAACCGCATACGCTCCACATTTTGCACCGCTTACTTTCTAAATAAAATCGCGCTACTTACTATAATCAAAGACTAAATAAGGAAATACTGCCAAAACTGGCTCGCAATTTTTGTTAATTAAGATATCTTAACAGCAAACTGATAAAGAGAATAAAAAACTGATTGAATCTTTAAATCCATTCACCTTTGTTGCACTTGACCTATATATGAACATAAATAAGGGAAAGCATTTATTTTATCGACCATTATTTCATCGACAGTACGGTTCGTTGAAATCATTTCGCTGACAGTACATTTAAAGCTTTAATGCTGTTGATTTTTGTTTTAATATAATAAAAATTGTAAAGATAACGAAGTTAGTAAGGATGTTAATAATATATGACTGTGTTTGCGTATATCTATATCTACGTAATTTAAAAAAATGAATAGGAAATTTACGGTATTTATGGTTATCTTTACATTTCTATTATAATGATAATTATTAAAGCAAAAATTAGCAGCATTAAAGCTTTAAATTTACTGTCGGCGAAATGACTGTCGGTAAAATGTACTGTCGACGATGACTGTGAACTGTACTGTCGATGAAATGAATTGGACCCCTTTTCCCTAACTTTAGAAATTATCACAGAAAGTTAATAGTATTTCTAATAAATTATTGTGGGACTTTAGTCAGCTTTATTTTGATTTGAATAATCAATATCTTAATCTTATTGCTTATTGAAATGATAATGTAGGTAACTAATTTAATGTCATAAGCATATGTTCAATGTACTTGAACTGATATAAGATATAACATTGGTTTAAACCCATCCAGAATGACTCTTAGTAGACATTTATTTGACATTACAACATTCAGAATTTGATTCTTGTTTGGATAATTAAAGACAGTAATTGATTGATAATCAAATGCTGACAATTGAGCCAGTTGTCAAACAACTAGAGATTTGAGAATCAGCTCCAAACTTACCCACAAGATATTGAGTTACTACAGCTGAGTAAGAAAGTTGAGGAAGCTGCTTACTCCTGGTTGGATTTTTTACCTCCGTGAGATTTATCTTACTGTACTTTTCAAAAGCTAAAATAATTGCCTTGTCAGGGTTATCAATCTGATTGATTACAAAATCAAGCGAATTATCTTGTGCAAGATTCCTTTCTGGGTCCAATAATTCTGTTAGACAAATATTGAATATATTTTCCTCTGACATATCACGAACAGTAGCAAATGCAGTGATAAGTGTTTCACCAACATCTTTTAACCTATTTTCAAACAAAAGCAGGGCATCTCCAATCAGCTCATCTGTAAGTTTAAATCCATAAGATTGAAGCTCATTTAACTTGTTAATGACTTGATCCAAATCTGGTTTCACCCAGTCTTTTGCTGGGACAGGTGGGTAAAGAATAAGCAGAGAGCCTTGCATAACCAAATCATTTACATCAGTGACTATTTCATAATAGCCAATTTCCTTCCAGTCATTAACTAATTCGGGATGAATTAGTATAGCCCGTGCAATGACATTTAACTGACGCACATTTTCGTAACCGTCTGACGGTGGATAATTTTCTTGACGTGACTCTGTACTCTCAAAAATATGTTTTCTGATTCTTGGTCTGGGAGGAAATGGGGCAAATTTGTAGACTAGAATCAACATCCTGATTTCAGCCAAGTTTTCCTCTAATTTTTTTCTTGCTTGACTGATCACCAAAGGTCCAGCTGAGAGGTAGTAGAAATATTCCATATCATTTCCGCGTATAGGCATGCTATTTCCTTCAAATCTTTCATATGCCTTGCGAAGGAGTTGAGTATAAACATTGATGGGAAGATTACTTGCCCACAAATTTCCACTCCTGTAGTGAGTCACTACATTGTGACTTTGTTTAAGATCAATAAGAGTTTTATCAAACTTCCCAAAACCGAGTACCATTCGTTGGGCAAAGTATCGGCTGATCTGTGCACCTTCCTCAAGCAAACGTTCCACAACTTCAGAATTGATAAAATTACCAATTCTTACAGCGTGAAACAATGCATGAGTTCTGCCATATTGGCACAGTAACCACATAGACTTGACATCAGGGGAATACACTAGATTATGCAAGTCATGTGAACATCTAGCAAGCAATAATGGATTATCCAAATAGGATGCAATTATCACTTTAATTTTATGATCTAATCTTTTCAAACGATCAAGATCATCTCGTCCTACTAGATTAAAAATATCGATTAATTGTACCACTTTGGCAAAGCCTCTGTCTTCAATTTTTTCAAACTACATAGTGGCTCCCATTAAACTGAAGAAGGATAAACAGAAGATTTCGTTATTTCGAAGGTTTTTGCAGCACCGGAGTTTTACAATAAAAAACTCGTTAATATGTAATCCGAAGTTATTCTTCTGCAGTCATTAATTAAAAAGTTTTCCATTAATACCAATTCTGATAATCGTTAATTCAATTTAATCCCAGTTGAAATACTTACATTACATTAACACCCGTAATAAAGCTATTAAATACATCACTGGTTGAATAATAATGCAAGCAAGTAAGTAAATGCTTGCCAGTGGTGCAAAGAGAATCCGAAAATTCGGCTATTCAACCCAACAACAATGTCCATGATAATGAATTATGTTTTAATCTTATAAATACACACAATAATAATCTCATTGTTAAGATTCAAAGTAATCCTTGCAATTTGTTGAGCATTGATCTTCTAATATGTGCTTCCTTTCTTATATCCAAGTATCCCATTACACATATTAACACTTCTATACTCTTCATACTGCAACTCTTTCCACTTTTCAATGTTGTTGTACGACACATGTATTCCAACTAAGTAAAAAACTTAGCGTAAAATATTCCATTGAACCAAAGCCAAGTCTCGCACGAAACGGCTTCGTTTAACGGGAGCCATTATGTAGTTACACGCAGGTAGGATAAGTAAATTTGTCAATCTAATATTCCTTACCTTTAGCAGTTGCCTGCGCAGTAAAATCACTTGTGCAAATAAAAGTTTCCATTGCGAAAAAATTGCTCAAGGAGGTTCATTATAACCGTTCGGCATGGCATAACCCCTGTGTATGGTTACACGAAATCTACGGCTGATGCCCAGCCATCAGGGGCTATTGTTGCGGCCCACAACTTTTGTTGGCCAATTATGTCTATGTGTTTGGGAGGCACCGACAATCATTTCACCGCAGACAGTACATTTCACCGACAGTTTCACGTGGCACATTGTTTATCGCACTTATTATTATCATTGGTTTCGATGAAATTTATGTCGGTGAAACGTAAATGATTGTCGGTGCATGAACCGGACCCCTATGTTTACGTACACGAGGAGACGAAACGTAAATATATTTATTTAATTTGTGTATTCTATAGCGCAGAGGTTATTTACGAAGAGCAGTCTAGTTCGGAAGCTTAATAATTACTATTCATATTACAGTTTAAATTGGGCGTTTTTTATTTGTCATATCGCAAGAAAAGTTTCAGATTTACATGACAATTGTTTCATACGTGCGATTTTAATCGAAGATATCTAATTAGTTAAACTTTACACTTAACAAGTATACATACTGTATATATTTCAGTTTAAGAATAGTAAGTATCGCTACATTTGAAACATATCCGATGAGAAAGTGCAGTAAGTTCGGGTAAAAACGTTAGAATGAAGTCGAGCGACAACATAAAATCCGCAAGAGTGATTGTAGTGACGTAATTTAGATGTGCCAAAATACAATCTTTAGCACTTCCTGGATAATAGTCAATACGTCTAAATGTTAGATTTCGTTATAGTTAGGAGGCTCCTAGTTATATTCTTGGAGAAAAAAACAGATAACTACCATTTTGGAAAAAATTGAAAGTTGATGCTGTGCTACGTATCACATGAAAACATAAAGGAGAACCCCAACAATCATGTTTACAATTACAAATCATACTTTGCAATCAAAGATTGATATGATGGCAAGTCCTAAGACCGCCTTTGCTATTTCTCTAGACCATCAGTAGTCTTTAATACCTATTTGATATTGATATTTACCGCCGAGGCATTAAAGTCCAAACCGTCCAATCTTATTATTACCGTCTATCGTTGTTTTGTTTCTTATTTACCGTTTCGAAAAGAATTTAGCAATGTGTCTATTGGTACGCTTGAGTTGGTAGCTTTATATTCACGCTTTAGTTTTTCCAGCTTCAAGAATTACATTTGAAGGCGTTCGGTCAACACCGATTTATCAAAATTGACATTGTCCCGCGCCCTAATAGTATCGGATTTCTCGGCACTAAACGCCATCCGCTGCGTACTATTATCAGCTATTATTTCATATTAATTGTTGTACCTACCATCTCAGTCTAGAACTCAGAACTGAGACAAGTCCCGAACTGAGGTACAACAATATGATAAACGATATACATATTGGACATTAATTATCTTTGGCTACTTCAATAATTTCGATTGCCGTAAAACCGTGGGTCCGAAATCCCAGGTAGAATTGATCTTGTCCACAAATTCTCGTAATTGGTGAACACGATTGTTAATATTACTAATATACGTGTATACTTTGGTGTGGTGTAATACAATCCCTCGCTGGACCTACGGACTATCGAAACTAATTCCACTGATAGAGGAGGCATAACTGTAGTGTAATCGAATCGAGAACCTGCGTTATACAGACGATTAATTAGAGAATCATGAGTATATTTAAAGCTAGTTTTAAGGTCACTAACTGTATTAGCGATTAAGCAGGAGTAGAGGTTAGCCAAGCCTCGATCGAAAGAGCTACATCCCAAGGCAAAATTAATATTTAATTAGTGTTGTATGTCAGTTTGGAATTAGATAATATCTATCAATATATACAGTCTTCTATCTATGCTTTTAATTCTTGGGCAAATTAATAAGCATCATAAGAACGTAGACATTACTATGTACATACCATGAGTTATGAGGCTGATACAATGTAAGATAATATCGATGCAAACGTAATGGGTTGAAGAACATAAACGAAAGTGTTGTCTTCACATGTGAAGTTCTCATTTAGTAAATGTGGGAGCTGATGCTGAAATCCGGCTGAAGCTGAAACTAACCAATGGGGTTAGAGAATAACCATGAAAGGTCATGGTTCAGCTTCAGCCGGATTTCAGCATCAGCCGTGATAGCCAAATAAGAAATGATCAACAATTGCATGATAACCAATATGCGTTAGCCGCCACAAAGCAGGAGTAGCAGTTGCAAGCGTGTGTGTAGCGAATCCATCAAAATCGAAATATAAGAGTAGGGCTTCTGAACTAGCCATACAAGCAATAAAAAAATATTTAAATAATCGGTCAATAGTAATAAGTATAATTCGGGTAAGTGTAAGTTTTTTTCATCAGCGCAAATCATAAAACGAGAGAGATAACAGTGATATAGCTTACAGGCAGTAAGATCATGACCTAAAGAATATATATACAGGGATTGCAATAAAACCCCTTGTGTTGTAATTCCAAATGAATCAATTTATACCACAATTAATTGTGGGTTGAAACTATTATCTTCTGTTTACATTTTTGCGTTGCTTTGTTAACCTTTTCAAAATGACTTAAAGCATGCTAGACAGGCTGCCAAGCATTTCTTGAAAAATATGCTCCTGAATTTATGGACTAATTTGCTAATAGTTCAGACTTTAAATCTTTGGGCCATTGTTGAAAAAATGTGAAAAAATGCATATATTGATTAGAACACTTTATGAAGGAAAATGGGAGTTCTATTTCAGAAACTCTCTAATTAGTTTGGTAGAATCAACAAACAGACCGTGTTCTAGAAAATAATGGCGTGTGCATTTAGAGGGGGGAGAATTTAAGGAAAATAGTAATTCGTGTAACACCATGAGATTATATATAATATTATAATAATGCGGACAATATTAATTAAGTATTTATATTTAATTAAAATATTGATTTATTGTTTGTCTCATTTGACTACTTCTCCTTCCATTACTGTTTAACAGTCTTATCTGCTCACTTGTATCTTTTGGTTGTAACAAAAATAATCGTACATTTTCTAAGCTTTTTAATGCACTACTGGCACTTACAATAGGAATTTCAGCACTGTCATCCATTTCTTCGGCATTCACCTCATCAACTTCTTTTTTAAATGTCTCCGCAATTCTCTAATAAGTTGGTTATTATCTGGAATATCATACACAATATCCTCTTCAGGATAAATAGAAATCCATTGAGTCTGAGAGATGAAGCTTATTGATCATTTCATTCAAGTCATCAAGCGTTGGATCATCTGTAAAATCCATCTCCATTCTGTTAGTATCAGGAAGAATTTTTGTGCGACGACGATTATAACGTTGTTCCAATTCACCTCTTAGACGCATGTATTAAATTGACATAAACAACGATTATAACAATTATTCGTTGTTCCAATTCACCTTTTAAGATGCATATTGACTAATTAGCAGCAACAACCATGAACAACGGCTACTAACAACAGTAATCGACTAACAAATTAATTACAACGACAAACGATTCAAATTTCGATTTACAAAGAGAATAATAATAATCTAATTGGTCAATACAAATATTAATCACGTGCGTGCATTTAGTTACCGCACGTGCAGGACAGAGGAGGTGTGCATTTATCACTAAGTCCCAAGCTCGGGACCATGCCAAACCATGCATTTAGAGGGTGCGGGTTTTAACTGTATCATCATGCGACATTTGAGATGCTGGCTGTTCCCGAAATGAGCAAGTTAATTTGTTCATTTTTTTTTTTTTTGCAAACACACTGACGAATATCAGAAACTAAAAAACCTTTGTAACGATGCCCCTGCCGATCAAATAGTAAAAAATTTTATTTTCGAAAGTCATTATCATCCGTATTTACTATGCAAGTAACAACGATTTTGGTATCGTTTTGAAGCTAATTGATTGTGCTTGTCAAAAGTAATGATGCTGTGTGGAAGGGTGGTATTTCTATAAAGCAGTAGTTCAATGAAGTCGTGGTGTATAGAAAAATGTATAATTATATACATGTGTAACATTCAACGCATTGTACTTAATGTATCATTATTTATCTCAA